TGTTTGTTGCTGAAGTGTATTGTAGGCATGGTTGCATTCTAGAAAAGTGATAAAAGATTTTGAATGTTAGATTGGAAATGCAATGGTCAGGTATGCTAATTTTATTGTTCGGAGTGGTTTTTTTTTTTTTTTTTTTTTTTTTTTTTTTTTTTTTTTTTTTTTTGCATAGCTTCTCACTTCTAATTTACTTAAAAGATTGTGGTCGTAAATGCAAATTGGACCTGTTAATTTGTTAATGTAATAATGTATCAAGGAGGTGTGCTTAGATTTGGTCATAAGTTTGGATTTTTAGTATGTTATTATTAACAAGAATGGGTATGGATGCTATTGCGCCTTAATCTTCTCCGAGTCCTACGAAAGAATTTCAACAGAGCAGCATCGTAATGAGGTTTCAATGGAGCTTGTATAAATTGATTAAGGATATTCATAGCAAAAAGAATATCTGGGCGTGTAATCATCAAATAAATAAGGCGGCCTATAAGCCAACGATAAATGACTGGATCAGGGAAGTGATTTCCCTTGATGTCCCTCAACTTGAGATTTTGTTCCATAGGTGAGCGAGCAGGTTGACAACCTAACATACCCATGTCAGTAAAAATGTCCAAGGTGTACTTCCTTTGACAAAGAAAATTACCATGTGAGGAATGCAATCTCAATACCAAGAAAATATTTTGGAAACCCAAGATCCTTGATATGGAACTGAGCATCCAGCATAACCTTTAGAGATTTAATTTTATCTGTGTTATCACCACCAATCAAAATATCATCAACATAGACTAAAACAAATGTAGAACCACAATAATCATCATGTTTAAAAAATAAGGAATAATTAGCTTTAGATTGAGAGTAGATGGCAAAGCACATAGATTGAGAAAATTTAGCAAACCAATTGCCGCTCACTTGTTTGAGCCCATATAAAGACTTGTTCAATCGAGTTTGTCGATTCTCCCCCTGCCTGTGATAACTTAGAGGAATTTTCATATATACTTCTTCATTTAAGTCTCCATGAAGAAAATCATTATTAACATCAAGATGATGTAGAGACCACCTTGTGATGGAAGCAATGGCTAAAAAACACAGGACAATGATCATTTTTGCAACAGGGACAAATGTTTCATTATGATCAATGCCTTTAGTTTGTGCAAATCCTTTGGCTATGAGTTGAGCCATTTGCAACCAACGGGTTTTTTGTGAGGAGGTAAAGTTGTAGCCTTCTAAGTGTCATTTTCCTCCAAAGCTTTAATTTTTGCCTCCATAGCCTTTCGCCATTATGGGATCTTAACAACTTGTGAGAAAGATGTTGGCTCAACACATAAATCAAGAGAATTAAGAAAAGCTGAATGTGAAGAAGACAAATGATTATATGAAAGAACTTGTGGAAGTGGATAAAGTGTACCTAACCCATGGAAAGTTGATTGTCGCGGGCAATCTACTGATCTCACATTGTTATAGATATAATCCTGCAAGTAGAGTGGGGTTCGGTGATCACGAATTGGTCATGTTTGACAAAGAGAGTTAGGAACATTCTCATGGTGTGAGGAAGGTTCCTCCAGTGCTGGATCAACAGTATTGGGCAAAACCGATAAATGAACTGAGTTGTCGATCAGAACTAGAAGAAGGAAATGATGCAACACCATAAGAGGATGGATTAATGACACCATTATCTAAAATTGGCAAAGGCATAACTGCCATCAAAAAGGATGAAATTGAGCATCTGGATATGGAAAAACGTTTTTTAAAAAAAGAACATATCTAGAGAAATAAATTTTTTGAGTGGTTATGTCAAAAATTTTATATCCCTTTTGACTAAAAAGATATCCCACAAAAATGCCAGGTTTGGGACGTGCATCAAATTTATGTCTTTATGGTGAGAGTTTATGACCAAAGCAGAGGAAACCGAAAACTCGAAGATGAGAGTACAGAAGAGGTACTTCTAGTAATACCTCACGGAGTTTTTTCATTTAAAATCGATGAAGGAATCTTGTTTATTAAATAGCTAGCTATAAGAACACACTCAACCCAAAAAGAAAGAGGTAAATTACTTTGGAAACGAATAGCACGAGCTATATTAAGAAGATGTCAATGCTTTTGCTCCACAACACCATTTTGTTGTGGAGTTACAATATAACTATGTTGGTGAAAAATCCCACGGGACTAAAAAAAAAACAATGTAATTTATGTGATAAAAATTCTCTCATGTTATTGGTTCGAATAGACTTAATAAAAAATATATTTTTTAACTCTTTCGATAAGAACCCCACAAGATTATTGGTCTGGACTCTTTTGACCCAAGAATGATATTGATTGGCAACTATAGAAATGAATGATTTTAAATGTGATTGAGTTTCAGATTTGTGCTTCATTAAAAACAACCAAGTGTAATGACTAAAATCACAAGTAATAGTAAAAAAAATAATGTGCACCAGAAATACTAGGAATAGCAAAAGCACCCCAAATATCACAATGAGCCAATTCAAAAGGAAATTTTGTTTTTGTATTACTTAACGAAAAAAGAATTCTTGCATGTTTTGCCAAAGGACATACATTACAGAGTGATTTGTTGGAAATAGTAATAGAAGAGTCTAAAGCATAAATTGAAACTAAATGATCATTTGAAGGATGTCCCAATTGCCAATGCCAAATATCAAAGGTGGGTTTCACTATTGCATAAAGATTACTAGGTTGGGATAGATAATAAAGACAATTCCAATTACCCACTCTAATCGTTCTCCTTGAGGAGAGGCCCTAAAAAATGCAACCGTCAGGTAGAAAAATAATAGCACAATTAAGAGATTTTGTTATTTGAGAAACGGACATCAAATTGAACTTAAATAAGGAAACAAGGAAAACATTATCTAAATGAAAGGAAGGATTAATTGAAACACTGACAGTTTGCATAACTGGCATATTAGAGCCATTTGGTAATTGTACCCGAGACAAAGATGTATTTTTAGTAAAGGACTGAAACAAATGTGGCGTGGAACACATGTGATTTGTAGCCCCACCGTCAATAATCTAGGAATTATCAAAAAGAGATGCGAGGGCAATACCTACTAAATATATAGAATGGTCATGTCTACCTAGTTACAAATTGCCAAAATTTGATTGTATTGCTCCTGCGAAATTGATAGTGATGCTAAAGATGGATAATTGTTGCTTCGAGGTGCTGGTGTGCTATTGCTTTAAGGCGTTGGTGTGATAACAGGAGCAGTAGATATAAAGAGAGGTTAGGATTGGTCAGATGAAGCAGCAAACCCATGTGCCAAAGGACAAGATGTCCCAGCGTTAGAACGTTGTGGGAACCCTTGTAATTTGTATCAAGTTGCAATCGTATAACCATCACAACCACTGTGGTCACAACATGATCGTGCCCTCCCCCCACAATTGTTACCACAACCAATACCTGATCTGCCCCGATTGTAGGTTGAGGTAGTGGGATGTGTAGTTTGATTTGGTGCAGGAAATGTGGCTAGAGCTGAAGCATCATTGAGATTGAGAGTGTGTAACGAAAGAAAACGTTGTTTTTCTTCCTGTAGTAACAATGAATAAATCTTATTCGCAGGCGGTAATGGTTCCCATAATAAGATTTGACTCCAAAATTGTGCATATGATTCATGGAGTCCTTGCAAAAATTGCATCGCATGATCTTAAAGAAGATAATCATTTATGGTTTTGGCTGCACCACATGAGCAAGTAAGAAGCATCACATATGATGCTAGTTCATCCCTAAGAACCTTCAATCGAGTATAATAAGCAGTCACATAAAGATTATTTTGTTTACATTCAGAGATACGCCGCTTGATTTCAAAAATTTTAGTACTTTTAGGTTGAAAAAAACGATCATTCAAATTGCTCCAGAATTCTTGAGCAAACTTAGAATAAATAATACTCGCAGCAAGTTTCAGCACCATCGAGTGAAGTATTCAGGAGATTACCATATTGTTCACTCAAATCCATTACTCATAGGTTGAAGAAGATTGGTCTGGCATAGGAATGGTACCATCAACAAATCCAAGCTTATTTTTTGCGCGTAAGGCGTACGCATCGCGCAGAACCATGTAATGTAGTTATCTCCATTAAGGAGAGGAGAGACGAGAATAGCAGTAGGATTGTCTGAATGGTGTAAAACATAAGGGTTTTGAAAAGGGTCACTACCCTGAGAAGAAGATGTGGCCATAACTTGAGAAGAAGCTTGTTGCTGCTCCTCAGAATTTGAAGGAATTGTTGCCATGAGGGCAAACATAATTTTGAAAAGAAAAACACCAAATGCTCTGATACCATATTAGAAAATTGGGGAAAAAAAATATTCATTCATCTATAATTTTGTACAAGAGACATGAACAAATACAAAGTCCCCTAAATAGAAAAGGAAAGAAAATCTCCTAAAATCTGCAAGAGAATTCTAGAAAGATATGAAATGGTACAATAATTAGAAAAGGGAAAAAAATTTCTCTTTGGAAATTCTTTCGCAGGACTTGGCCGAGAAGATTAAGGTGCAATAGATGCTTATCATTTGTGTTAGAATTAAAGATAATAGTGGATTTGGACATTTTAAAAGGAACAATAATAATAATTTGCCAAAAAACAAATGGCAGGAAGGGGGAGTCCTTGACCAACCCTCACATAGTTATTGGGTGATAAAAATTCACATGTAATTCAATATTTAAAAAAAAATAAAAAAATTAACAATTATATATTGGGTGATAGCTTCCCCCACCAGACCCTACATAGTTATATGACTTTGTGTTATATATATATGTATATATATATATAGTAAATAAATGACATTTATGTGTTCCTTGTTTCCGATTTTTTTTTTATGCTTAATAATTTATTTTAATAATTATGAGCAGAAGTGGTCACATCATTTCGTTTCAATTTTAGAGTAATTTATAGGAGAGATGTGTTCATAATTTGGTTTAAAATTGTTTTTAGTTTACGAATTTCTTCTTGTATTAGGAAATAAAGATTCACTCAATCCCTGCAGAGACATTTGAAAGATGACGTACAAAAGTGGCAATCAGCGGTTGTCAGAAGATTTGATAATTGATGTTCTCACAAGGTTGCCTGTGAAATCACTTGTGCGGTTTAGGTGTGTATGCAAAAATTGGTACTCTCTCACCATAAACTCTAGTTTCATTACCAAACACCTCCACCATAGTAGAAACAGTGCTCATCTCCTTGTTTATCATTTCAATGATAGTGCTGAAAAATATGTTTTAACCCTATTCCTGGATGAAACGCTTGCTAGCTTCTCACATCTACATTACGATCTTGATGGTCTTCCGTGCTTTAGTGAACCAAGTATTTTGGGTACCTTTAATGGCATACTTGGTCTTTGGAATCATGACCGCATAACTCTTTGGAACCCGGCTACAAGAGTATTCAGGTCCCTCCTTATGCCCAATCCTAACCTCCCATCCTACTTTAATGTTTATCATAGTTATTTTGGATTTGGGCTGGACCTTGAAACCAACGATTACAAAGTGGTCTCGATTAGAAAATATTGGAATGATAAAAATGATGATCCATATGATCCTAACGTTGTTTCAGTGTATAATCTATGTACAAATTCTTGGAGACTCTTTCAAGATTCATCTCCATCTAGATTCGTACATGATTCTATTTTATCCAACACATACATGAATGGACTTTATTATTGGTTGACTCTAGATGAGAGTGATCAATTTTATGCAGTCGTCTCATTTGACATGGGAAACGAGGTTTTCCGATATATATCCGGGCCTCCAAATCTATCCCGTATGGAATATGGGATCCGTGTCATGTACTTTGATTCGATTGCTTTGATCTATTTTGAAACACATAAGGTTGAGAAACATTTTGATAGTTGGGTGATGGAGGAAGAGGGATGTTGGACTAAACAACTATCTATTGGGCCTCTTCTAGATGTTGAGGCGTCATTTGGAATCTGGAAAAATGGTGAGCTTTTTTTAAGAATTAGCACTGAAGAGTTGGTTTTGTACGACCCAAATACCCGAGAAATTAAGAATCTCCAATATCGTTGCAACAGTTCCCTTCAGGCTTTTATGTACATGGAGAGCCTAGTTTCAGTCAGAGGAGAAAACAAACTGTTGGCACCAAAACTTGGCAGCCATCTCAGCGATGACGTGGACCAATGAAAAGCTGATAAGTATTTTTAACATGGCGTCAAGGGAATCTGCCAGTTAAGAAATATCAGGAGCAAGTATTGGAGAAAATTACTTAGCCACTTCATTAACAAGGCAGTTGCTAAAATATAGCAACAAACATTTGACTTTATTCAAGTTGGGTTATCAACAGGAAAGGAAAGACTAAAGTTTTAAGGAAATCAGACAACTGAATTCCTATTTTATAGGAATTCTAGTTGGATGGAACAAGGAAAAAATACAAAAGGCAGCCGCGTCATGAATATAAAAGCGATAAATGGCTTTTGGGCAATTTAAGGGAAGAAACGGTAACCAAGTATAAGGAAAGAAGTTGCTAAAAATTAGCAACTTTCCAGCAACTTCTTTAGCAACTTTTCAGCAACAATTCGACAACTTGCATTTGACTAAATCAAGGAGAGTTTTCAACAAGGAGTTTCTATTGAAGTAAGACGAAGCAAGGCAAGAAAGGAAGTGGAAGAACACTGGGTTTTGCCCTAGAAGAAAGAGAAAATCAAGGAATAAGAGATTTTAAAGCAAAAAATTAGGAAAATAAGTTGAAAAAAGAATTCTATAAATAGGAAAGTTGTAATCCTATTCTAGTCCGTCCAGCACCACCACAAAACATGCATTTCAACTAAAAATGTTTTCAATTGACTCTACGTCATTTTTTCCTATCAATTTCTTTATTTCAATTTAATGGCAATTGATTAGATCATTGTCAACTATTTCAATTCAGCCATTTACTTTCTTTCAATTTCAATTATGCCAATTTTAATTACGCAATTTTAGTTAGGTTTTCAATTCAATGGCAATTGATTAAATTCTTGCCATTGAATCGTAGTGACAATTGATTAAATTCTTGTCATTACTTGGCTGATGGCAATTGATTAAATTCTTGCTATCACGTTTCAGTGGCGATCGATTAAATTCTTGCCATTGTGTTTGGCTGATGGCGATTGATTAAGTTCTCGCCATCACGTTCGGCCGGCGATCGATTAAGTTCTTGCCGCCTGTCTTCACTCGGCCATTCCATCCATTCAAACATTCATCAGCCGTTGCATTTCTTTAGACACTCTAAAAAGTCCTTGCTACAAACAAGGCATAAAAGAACCTTGCTGGGAGTTCTTACTAGTCTCTCTCCCACACAATCGCCTGAGAGTCAGCCATCGGAAAAAGGGATAGGCTGGTGTTCAATTACATATTTTGGGTATTTTGTACAAATACTATGGCACGCCCGCGAAGAGTCCATCGACCGGCGTAAGGAACAAAAACCGCGCGAACACGTTTTGGCACGCCCGGTGGGACTACTACTAGAGTGTTATAAAAGAGGCAAATATGCCGCGGCTCAGAAAAAATTCTAAGGCCGTGGCTACTGATGAAGATTTGGAGGAAGGCGACCAGCCAGTACAGGCTGAGAACTCTGCAGCAGGTCCTACTGATGAGTTAGCCGTTCTTCAAGCACATGTTAGCTCCTTGGTAGATGCAATGGGAAGGATGGGAGCACGCTACAACGACTTGCATGAAAATATGTCCCAACTCTCAGCCTTTATTTTGAACAAGCTGACTCAAGCTAGCAGCTCCAACAATCAGGAATCGGTTTCTCAGCCGAATCTATCACAAGCTGCTCGGCCAAAGAGGGCCATTGAAACATCACAGCCATGGCCGCCAGTAGTGACACTCCAACCAGGTACAACATCAAGTCAGCCGGTTCATACGCTACTCACCTGGGCAGAAAGCTATCCTCAGCCTACGTTGGCAGGTTCTAATCAGCCACCAGTAGTAGGTTCGCAGCCACAGGTAATTCTACCAAACCCTCCTCGGATGCCTTTGAACTCGGGGGGCAATCAGATCAGGTGGAGGCCACCGAACCCACTGTATACTCATGTGCCGCCACAGGTAGGGCTCGGGGGGCAGAATATGGCTAATCAGCCACATGATTGGCCGAATTGCTATCAACCAGCGGCTAATCAGCCGCCAGTTTTTAATCAGGTACCACCAATATTAAATCAGCCACCTCAAGTCATGTTAGATAGAAGACAATTAGCTGATTTACTCACAGAAGAATATGGCCTGGAACTTAGAGGTGCCGGCCGACCAATTTATAGAACTCCTTATCCAGAAGTGGTAGACCAAGTTGAGTTCCCTAGAGGATATAAAGTCCCTGACTTTGTAACCTTTAGTGGAGAGGGAAATCAATCGACCGTGGAACACATTGGCCGATTCACGGTTCAATGTGGAGAGGCCAGTGTTAGCCCGTGGTTGAAATTGAGACTTTTTCCTAACTCTTTGACAGGGGCAGCTTTTTCATGGTATATTCGTCTACCTCCTAACTCTGTTTTTAATTGGCCACAGATGGAGGAATTATTCCACAATCAGTTCTACCGTACGGAGACAGAACCTACTCTGGCCGATTTATCCAGGCTAAGTCAATTGCCTAGTGAATCGGTCGAGGCATTCATTGCAAGATTCAGGAGAGCAAGATTAAGATGTCGTGTACCTCTTCCAGAACAGGAGTACATTCGTTTGGCTTTGAACGACCTTGATTTTGAACTTCGAAAGAGGTTTGAAGGAGTTCCATTTCGTGACATGTATGACCTGGCCGAGAAAGCTACCAGGTATGAGTTGGTTCTCAAAGAGGAGAAAGAACGAAAAAATTCCTCTAAAGGTACGTACTATAGGGACCCCAACTATGAAGTTTATTCAACTGATGTGGTTGAAGAGGAAGATTTTGAAGCTAATTTAGCCGAAGTCATTCTAAAGAAACCTTATGTATGTGACGCTTTAACAAAACCAAATGTATCCACCAGTGGTACTCAGCCATCGACTTCATCGGCCAGGAAGGGTACGGCTGATACTGGTAAGGTTTATACGTTTGATCTGGCCAAAACAGAACAAATTTTTGATCATTTGTTGGCCGACAAACAAATCGTTTTGCCAAAAGGACACAATATACCATCGACCAATGATTTAAAAGGAAGAGAGTTCTGCAAATTTCATAATTCATGGAATCATACTACTAACAATTGTTATGTATTTAGAAATATATTGCAGAAATCTATCGATGAAGGTGTATTGAAATTCCCTGAAAAGAAGCCAGATGTAATGGGGGTCGATGGCGATCCATTTCCTAATATTGTCAGTACCAATGTAATCAGCCTGGCAACTGAAAAAGCCGCTGATAATTGTAGACAGGAAAGATTACCAAAAGTTCTTGGTAGTTCATCGGCCAGTAATGATGAGCAGAAAGTTAAGGACTTGGAAATTCAGTTAAGAGAAGCTCAAATTGCCCTTATCAACCATGGTTGTTGTCCAAATTGCAAAGGCCGAAGGAATGACTCAGACAAGAGGGGCTATTTCCAATCAACCAGAAAATGCAGTGTCCATGAAAGGTTAGGCCATCAGCCTAGACAGAATCACGAAGAAATCAATCGATCAATATTTAGAGAAAATGGGCCGAGGGCAGTGAGAATCATTCGGTCATCGGTGGCCGATAGAATCCTGCCAGAACAACATTTTTATCCTAGTTTCAAAAGGATACCAACAATTCAGTCAGAAATATGGGTTCAAAAAGGAGAAGAATCTAGCCGTGTAAGAACGGTTAGGCCTCCTTTGGTTGACCATGGCAGATGGACTCGAGTAAGTCACCCAAAGTTTCCTAAGCAGCCTCCTACACGTACCCAAAAAAGGAGGATGCAAAGGAAAAATGCAGAACTCAAAAGGAAAGAAGACAAGATCGACCATGATCAACTAGAAAGGAAAATTGAACCAGTGGTGGCTGAAGACATGGAGGTCGTTACATCCTTTGAGAATAAGGCATGCTTTTATGAAGAAAAAGATGATCAGCCCGACCAGGATCCAAAGCATACGGCCAAGTACAGAATTCGTTTTGGTTCTCTCCCAGATAAGGTAAATTGTAACATGGTATTTGTTTTGCCTTCTGTGTTTGAAGCAAGGATAGAACCAACGATGAACAGGGATGTTGAGTCAGCCAAGCAGGAAGAAAAGGCTGAATCTTCAGAAATTAAGAACGATTCGACAAGTTCATCGGCCGGGATAGGATTGATCTCTCAGGATCAGCCATCTGAGGCCGATAAAATTATTTTTGAAAAACCACCTTTGTCCATGACACAGCAGTTGAGGCCGTTGTATGTTAAAGTATGGGTTGAGGGTCAGCCAATCAATAGGGTTTTGGTTGACAATGGTTCGGTGGTGAATGTCATTCCATCAACTACTTTGAAGAAATTGGGTAAAACCATGGATGATGTAGTTCCAACCGACGTAGCCATCAGTGGTTTTAATGGAGGATCTAGTAACACCAAAGGTATTCTACCTTTGGAAATTACTATTGGCGGTAAGACATCCTTTACGGCTTTCTTTATCATTGATTCAACCGCGGCCTATAATCTCCTTTTAGGCCGAGATTGGATTCATCCTAACATGTGCATCCCATCAACCTTGTATCAAATGTTGATTTTTTGGGACGGAAATGAGGTAAAAATTGTTGAGGCCGATAACAAACCCTTTATAGCTAGGGTGTATTCGGCTGAGGCTGCACTTTATGATGAAACTGTTGTACCTATCAAATTTGTTGGCATTAACAGGATGGGACGACCAGCAGTTGCAACAATGAAGAAGAATTTAATTAATGCTGATATTAAAGAATTATTGTCAGAAGCAGCTCGGCCGAAAATTGATATTTTCAGGTCGACCATCAAGGACATTGAAGATGTTACTGATGGATCACAAAACCAACGAAGAAAAGAAGCGGCAAGCTTTCAGGGCCGCTTGCATCAGACTGAAAGCATATCTGGCTGAGAAGAGACTGGCCAGAGAAGAACAACTATATGAAGAGGTATCGGCCAGCATGGCCGATATAATTGAAGAAGGTTTCGAAAAGCTGGATGCAATCCAACTTAAAGATTTGGAGTCAGCCTCTTCCAGGATGGAAGATAATAAAGCAGAGGTGCAAGATCCTTTATTGGAAATAAATGTTG